GGGCTGGGACAGGAAGTGCACACGAGGAGCCTGAAGCAACTTACACTGCCAGAAAGTAAGGAAAGGCAGTGTGCTCAAGCTCTCACTCGCTCTGTCTCTCTCTCCTCCTCTCTGTTGCGCGCGCACACACACACACACACACACACACACACACACACACACACACACAGTGACGAGGGTATGACAAAGGACCGCAGGAGTCAACTGAAAGAGCACCCAGGGGTCAAAGATGGAGCCACATAATAAATAAAGTAGCATCGGGTTGTGATCCAAAGTAGAAAATAAATATCCACTGTTATAAATAAATAGTCAAATAAATAAATAAGGGGGAAGGGACAACCTTGGCACAGAAAACTGTAAATAAAGGACTCAAGTGTGGGCTGTGCAGAGTGCCTTCCTTCCAAACGGGATGGATCGGAAACGGGGAGGTTCAATTTGCAGTGGAGACACCCAAAGAGCGAGTGGGACCCCAGCCAGGTGACCGGCGTGGCCGTGGCCGGGGGCGAGTCACGTTGAGGGCATGGAGCCTTGTGAGGATGTGACGGGAAAGGCACGTTAGCCCTGCGGTCGTCCTCCCAATAACCGCCCGTGTGTCTCCTCCTGAAACACCAAAGCAAAGTGTCCAGGTTGTTAAGCACGAGGCAGTGTGGTCCTGGGGCAGAGAAAGGACACTTGGGTAAGTCGAGGAAACCTGAGTTGTCGCTGGGGCTTCCGGTCATCGGGGAGCACTGTGCGCTGCTGGTTGATGATGGTGACCGCGGGGCCCCAGGCAAAATCCAGAGACCGAATCGGGAAAGTTTACCTGAGGGAGGCCAACGCCCCGAAGGGAGCGGACTTGCATGTCAAAGATGTTTCCAGAAGACCCAAAATCCTTCCAGGTTCCAGAAGGAAAATGCGCCGCACCTGCTGGCGGGCAGGGAGGGTCAAAGGGCTCGAGGTCAGGGAGTCCCTCAGCCGCGGGCAGCCCCCGGGAGCCCATCTGGGGATGCTCTGCCCTCAGGGTCTTCTGCCGCCCGAGCCCAGAGCCCAGCTGGAAGGCGGACCCCCAACTGGCAAGTCTGAGGTCAGGGTGGAGACAGTTGAACCCCTTCTCAAAGGCACCCCGCTGAGGCAGTGTGGGTACCAGGGGAAGCCGCTGGGCCTCCTCGGTGGAGGAGGGTCAGGTTGCCCCTCCCCAGCACTGGGGACCCTCCCAAGGCTCCAGCCCCCAGCCCCAGGGGTGCCCTCGAGCCACTCTCCCCCCACCAGCTGTCAAAAGCAAAAAGCCCTTCAAGGTGGACTCCGGCTATTTTGAATTCCAAAGCTCTTTGAGCCCCCACCCGATCTCCAGCTGCCCCCAGGCCTCTCCAGGGATCCAGGGATCCCAGGTGCCCGGGGGTGGGGCGTCCTCCCACCCGTGCACAGGCTCCCACCCCCACCCCCGCCCCCACGCCCCGGCGGGCCCCACGCCCCAGGCCCGGGCCCAGTTCCCAGCGGGCACTCCCAGGCCTCCCGGGACAATGAGGGCCTTCCGCTCCGGCTCCCTTCCTGCCCTCCCCCCAGCTCTCTCCTTCCCTCCTCCCCCTCTTCCTCAGCTCCCGGTGCCAGCGGCCCGGGGCTCCAGGCAGGGGGCCCTGGCACCCGCTCACCCCAGCAGCCAGGGCCCCAGGGGCGGGGAGGGTGGCCGCAGAGCCCTGGGAGCCCATCGAGGCCCACGGCCCCTCCGCGGGAGCCGCCCCGGGAACACTGTAGCCGCTTCTATGGGCGCGGGCTGCTGGGGTCAGCACACCGGAGGCCAGAGTTCCGGCCTCCAGCTCCCACTTTGGGCAGCTCCTGCCAAGTCACCCTGGCCAGAGGCGAGGATGGGTCCGCGAACTTCGGGCACCCCGTCAGGCTGCCCGCCTCGGCTCTGCGTGGGAGGCAGCGCCCGCCCACCTGCTCGGCCTCCGTCCTGGGACAGGTGGCAGCTGAGCCGAGCCTGCGGGTGGGAGGGAGGTCCGCCCACGGGGTGGGCCCAGGGGCACCCCGCTCCTCGGCGCCGCAGAGCCCGCAGGCCGGCTCCGGTCCAACTGTGCACCCCTTGGAGAGGACCTGAGCTCCATCTGATCTCGGGCGCAGCGACGAGGCCCCGGAAGAACGGACGCGGACGCACAGGGCGGCTTTGTGCTGCTGAGACAAGCCCGCGGCACTCGGCCAGGGGAGGAAGCCACCAGTGGGGTCCGGGCCCAGGACAGCCATGGGGGTGGCATCAGCACCTGCCTGAGGACCACTGGGGTGGCGGCATAGGGAAGGTGCAGCCCTGCAAAGTCAGGTCCGGGAGCCTGTGGCACCCCCAGATACGGAGGCCTACGTGGGCCTAGACGCGCCCCGTGAAGGCCCCCCTGGGGCACTGAGGGCCTAGGTCCTAGGGGTTCTGGAGCTCACGCAGGCCATTGTCGGCATCCACGCGCCCTTCCTGTCTCCCTCTGGCCCCCTGCAGGCCAGCCGCCCCCCTCCTGACACCCTCTGACCTCGCAAAGGCAGCAGCAGCCTCGCCTCGGTGGCAGCTCACTCCCACTTGTGCCACTGGCCTTTGAACCTGCCTCCCCTCCCAGGGGAGACAAGAGTCCCCACCCTTGGCTCCTGCAGGCCCTTCGCAGGCTCCCGAGGCCTGGCCCTTTGTCCCCTCTGCCCTCCCGGCAGCTGAGCTACTTCCCCAAAGTGCCACCCACTTGCCCGCGTCCTTCTCCAGCCACCGCCTTCTCCCCCCACCAGTCTCTTCAGATGAGCGAGATGTTAAAATTCTCGAAAGAGCCGCCTGCACCCGGCCACGTCCCCACTTCCCCTGGCTCCTCAGGGCGCTGTCTGACCTCTGCCCGAACCTCTCCATCACAGTTGCCGCCCTCACTCCACTCCTGCAAGTGCTCCCGGCCCCTCCTCCCCCCTCCTCCCCCTGGGACAAGATCCTCAGCCTACTTCCTTGGCTCCTCTTTCCTCGCACAGGAGCACAGAGGGGCTTGCGGTCCCGGGCTGGAGCTGCTCGTCTTTCCCCCGTCCTTGTTCCCCGCGGCCCCCCTGCCCCGGGCCTCCCACGGCCCCAGTACTTCTCCACGGCCCCTTTGTCTCTGGGCCAGCGTCGGTCTGAGACGGGGCAGAGAACACCCAGGTTAGGGGCCTCTGATGAGCAGTGCAGCCCTGCTGCCTCGAGGGTCCCCGAGCGCCCTGCGCCCCCACCCGACCTAAGCACAGGCCACCCCAGAGGCTCCTCCAGCGATTCTGGGTGGAGAGGCTGCCCCTCCCTCGCCGGCAGGCTCAATCTGGCTCGGCCCAGAACTGCTTTTCTTCCTAAAGCCACTGGATGGCCGAGGGTTTAGCTTAACGGGATGAGCCATCTGGGGACTACAGCCTGGTGATCAAAGTGTGGGACCGGTTGGGGGCTGGGGGCGCACTTCACCTCCCTGCCAGGACAATGACCCTTTCCTCCCCCCGCCCCCCCGCCCATGGCTGCTCTTGGCTCTACAAAATCCCCAGCAGGCTGCCCCGTGCCGGTGGGGAAGTGGCCCAACAGCCTTGCCAGGAAGGCCCGAAAGTCCCTGGAGAGAGAAGCTCTGCAGGTGGGGAACTGGGGCCTCCCAGCTGACGCCTGGGGGGAGGGTCTGTGCACCCGACAGGCACCAGGGGGCAGCCTTGGCCTATTCCAGCCGGAATCTCCTGCGGGTCTCGCGGGAGTGGGGGGCAGCCAGGGTCCCCGAGACCCCTCCTTGGTGACAACGTGTAGCTTTACTGGGCAGGCTTGTCTCTGCCCACTTGGGAGGCTCATAGAGAGACTGTCACCCCGGGAGCTGGGACCCCGACCTCCAGCTCCCAGGGTTCGTTCGCTGGCTGCCGGGAGGAGGCAGATGGTGCTTGTGGCCAAGCCCCCCAGCACACCTGGAGGCAGAGCCGGCGGCAGCCTGTCCCTTGCCTGCCAGCCGAGGGGTCCTTCGGGAGGCCGGAGCGGCCTGCAGCCCCCCGGGAGCAGGGAGCCGGGGAGCCGCAGGCCTCCTACCAGCACCGGCCCAGGCCCTCGCTGGGGGTCAGACCAGGGTCAGGGAGATGGCACGGCCTGCGAGGATGGGGAGAGCAGGAGGGGCCCAGGATGGCCGGAGGCAGCCAGGGGAGTGGCTTTCCTCGAGCCGGGAAGGGAGGCTGGGAGGGGCGCCCTGGGCGGCAGGCGGGCCCAGGTGAACCTGGGGCAGGCGCGGTGGGGTCCCCGGAGCGAGGCACTGGCGGGCGCCGCAGGTAGCAGCCATCCTGCCTCCCGCTGGAGCGGCGTCTCCTCCTCGGGAGGAGGGAAGGAGGAGGTGGGCGGAGTGACGGGGAGGGCGGGACGGGGGGGGAGGGGGACCAGCCCGGTCGTGGGGGTGGGGCGACAGTGACATCACCCCAGAGTCGGTTCTTAAGCGGCAGCCGATCGGACCGGGAAAGAGAGGGACGGTCGGAGCGCGGTGGCGAGTCGCTGAGCCCGCCGCGGCCCCGAGAGCGGCTGGAGCCGCCGCCGCCGGGAAGGAGGGGCGAGCGCGCCCGAGCCGTCGTCGTCGTCGTCGTCGCCGCCGCCGCCGCCGCCGCCGCCGCCGCCGCCGGAGCCGCGAGCGAGCCGGGCAGCCGCGCCGGCCCGGACCGGGGCGGGGGGCGCGGGCCGCAGGCCCCTGCTCCGGCCGCCGCTTGCAGACCGTGGGCGCCCGATGCCGCCCGCGCCCCGCTAGGCTGAATCTCGGGCCGGGCGAGCCGCCGCCGCCGCCGCCCGAGCCGCGGGCAGGAGTCTCGGGAGCCACCGCCGCCGCCCGGCCGGGCCCCGCCGCCGCCCGCGCGCCCCCGGGCCCCCGACACACATGAGATTCTTCAGGCTCACTTTCAAGTGCTTCGTGGACTGCTTCTGACCGCGCCGCCCCGCCTCCCCGACCCCCGGCCCGGCCGCCCCCGGCCCCCGGAGGGCCCGCGCCTTCGGGGCCCCCCCCCGCGCCACCGGCGCCCCCCGCCGCCCGCCCGCCCGCCCCCGCGAGGCGCCGCGCCCCCCGGCCCGGCCGCGCGGCCCGCCGGGGCCATGGCGAAGAAGAGCGCCGAGAACGGCATCTACAGCGTGTCCGGCGACGAGAAGAAGGGCCCCCTGATCGCGCCCGGGCCCGACGGGGCCCCGGCCAAGGGCGACGGCCCCGCGGGCCTGGGGGCGCCCGGCGGCCGCCTGGCCGTGCCGCCGCGGGAGACCTGGACGCGCCAGATGGACTTCATCATGTCGTGCGTGGGCTTCGCCGTGGGCCTGGGCAACGTGTGGCGCTTCCCCTACCTGTGCTACAAGAACGGCGGAGGTGAGCGCCCCCGCCCCGCCGCGGCCCGCTCCGCCCGGCCGGGGCCCCCGCTGCCCCCGCCCCCTGCCCGCGGCCGGCCCCAGCGGGGCGCAGGGCCGAAGTCCGGAGGCCGGGGGCCCGGAGGCCGCCCCTCGCTGGCCGCCGCCGCTCGGTGGCCGCGGCTGGCGGCCTCCACCCCCCTGGCCGGTCATGTGCCTGGCAGCGTGTGGGGGGAGGGGGCCGGCGAGCCTCCTGCCGAAGCCCCGGGACTGATTGGCCACCGAGGTGGGAAGGCCAGGCCTGCCCCCTGGGGGGCTCCCAGAGGTGAGGAGCCCAGGCTGCCCCCGCTGCTCGGGCACACAAGTGGCACATTGTGCGGGGCCCCCACGTGTGCACACACGAACACACACACACACAATGGGCTACTCTGTCCCTCCCCCTGCCCTCTCCTCCCCTCCCTTCCCTTCCCCTCTCTTCTCTTCCCCTCCCTCCCCTCCCTCCCCTCCTCCCCTCCCCTCTCCTCCCCTCCCTCCCCTCCCTCCCCTCCCCTCCAGCCTGGGCCTGGAACACTGGGTGCCTGAGCCAGGCTTGGGTAGCCTGCGGCCTGGGCCGCCTGGCGCCGCCGCTGGACACACTGCATGCACACCCCATGCCCGCCTGCCCGGGCCCAGCTTAGCAACAGCGATAGGCACCCGTGTGTCCTGTGACTGCAGAGCGCCACTGGGGTTGGGGGGAAGCCACGGGGACTGGGCGATGGCTGGGAAACTGAGGCCCAGAGCGAAGGCCTTGGCCCAAGGTCATGCACAAGAAGGATGCTGGGACCAGGAGCCAGGCAAGCTGCAGCCAAGCCTGACTTCTGAGGAGTGCAGAGCTGAGCGGGGCCGACGGTAGGGGGCCTGGAGAGGGAAGGGGGGCAGGCGGGCTGCTGGTGCCCAGCTCCCCTGACCACCACCCCCCCCCCCGGCCTATGCTCTCTGGCCCTGCCGCTCCAGGGGCCTCGAGCCCTGCTCACCAGACATTGTTGTACCCCACTTCGTCTCCCCCTGTCCTTGCTCACCGACACCTCCAGACACCCCCTATGTTCCCTGGCAAAGGACTGCCACTCAGCCACCCACCTGCCCTCTTCCCGGACCTTCGTACTTGCAGGCAACTGCCTGCGCACGCAGGACCCCAGGGCTCCCTGTCCTGGCCCCAGCCAGCCAGTCTCCCAGGCCTGAGTGCCAGCCACAGCACACGTACGCGCAGGAGCACACATACACATGCCGGTCCTCCCCTGCGCTGCCCAGCAAACAGGGAACTGCGACACGAGGGTGTGTGTGTGTCCTCCACGCCTGTTAGGTCACCGTAGGTGAGGGTAGGGCCAGAAGCCTTGTGGGTTGCAAGGGCCGAGGACTGCCACAGCCCTCCCAACACTCCAGCCTTCTCCCCACAAGGCTGTTCACCTTGCACCTCTGAGTCAGTGGCCACCCCTGCACTGATTCACCCAGTGGGAAGTTGTGATGGGGCCAGGGTGTGGCCCAGAGCTGGTTCCACCCTGACATCACAGGGCTTCGGAAGGCGGGCCAGCCAGCCAGGGGCTAAGGGGCTGCCTGTGCAGGTGCCCACCCTCTGCTTCCTCCCCCAGGTGTATTCCTTATCCCTTATGTCCTGATCGCCCTAGTTGGAGGAATCCCCATTTTCTTCTTGGAGATCTCACTGGGCCAGTTCATGAAGGCCGGCAGCATCAACGTCTGGAACATCTGTCCCCTGTTCAAAGGTGAGCGGCCCCGGGCTGGTCCCTCTTGTCCTCTCCCTCTGAGATCCCTCGCCCTTCCCACTGCGAGGACAAAGCTGGCACCCACTTGAGAAATCTTGTCCTATCTCAGCACTAGGCTGGGGCTCCACGGGGGCCCCTCACATCACAAGGGGAAAGCTAGAGGACCTGCAGACCACCCGCATGATCTTGGGCAGGTGGGGATGGGAGCCAGGGACTTGGCCTCTCCACTGAGGCCAGGATGCCCAGGCCCGGCAGGGCTGAGAACAGGCCCTGCCAAGCACACTTGGCCCCCCGAGGCTGAGTGGCGGGTGCAAGAGCTGACAGCAAGACACGCCGCCAAGGGCCTGCTCCCCCAAGGCCAGAGGGCCAACCAAAGGAGCTTGGATGGGAGCCATGCAGCCCAGGGCCTGGAGGGAAGGACTACTGGCAAAGGTCAATTTAGAGCTCCTTGTGCATGTGGGCAGTGCGCCCCATTCTCTCAGGCCCTAGGAAGTACCCTGAGGAAGAGTCAGTGATTGGCCAAGGTTGCCTGCTGAGAGGGAGAGGGGGACTATGTCCCAAACGGCCCCAGGTCACCAGGAAGCCCACAGCCACTGAGGACTGGAGGCCACTGGGGGCCCAGGTGGAGGCTTGGCCCTCCCTCCACCACCATGGTGGCAGTGGGGCCCAAGAGGAGGGGACAGGTGTGAGGCTAGGGAACTTACAGGACTGAAGGCTGAGTTCGGGGCCAGAGGGGAGGACTCGAGGGAGGCTGCAGGAGGTGAAGCCGGGAGCAGGGGCAGGTTTCTGCTGGCGGGGAGGCTGAGGGGGCCAGACACAGATGGGGGAGCTGCCCTGGTGTTGCCACACTTGCACAAGGGAGTCCAGGGTCCAGGGGGCTCTCTGCATCTGCTGTCCTCCCACTCCCCACGATCCTCCCACCAGATCTCCGCAGTCGTGCTCTGGAGGCTTCTCTGAGCCTGGTAGGGTAGATAAGCAGGGGGGCAGGGGAGGGGAGTGGCTCGTGAGAAGCCCACGCAAAAACTCCTCCCCAGGCCTGGGCTACGCCTCCATGGTGATCGTCTTCTACTGCAACACCTACTACATCATGGTGCTGGCCTGGGGCTTCTATTACCTGGTGAAGTCCTTCACCACCACGCTGCCCTGGGCCACATGTGGCCATACCTGGAACACTCCCGACTGTGTGGAGATCTTCCGCCATGAAGACTGTGCCAATGCCAGCCTGGCCAACCTCACATGTGACCAGCTTGCTGACCGCCGGTCCCCTGTCATCGAGTTCTGGGAGTGAGTCAGGCGCCTCTGGGCCGGGCCCTGCCTGTCCCCCGCTGCGGGCTCCACATATGGCCGGAGTCTGCATGCGCTGGGGCCCGGCCTGTCTTCGGGGAGCCCCCAGCACAGCCCCTAGAGGAGCGGGAACGGGTGGGCCTGACTCCTTCACATCTCAGTCCCAGGCATTGTCACTCCATCGTGCCCGCCAGCCTGGGAGGGTGTGGCTCGCGGGCACACTGTGGGTGCTGTGGGTGCTGTGGGTGCTGCGGGGCCGGGCTCCCAGCCCTACAGCCTCCGGCCCGTTCAGGCTCACACCCTGCAGCACCTCCGGGCCCCAGGCGTGGGGAGGGAGGGGGGCTGGACGGGGCGCACCGCCCCAGGGGCCGCCCGCAGCCGCTCTGCCCGCTGCCCGCACACCCTCACGGGCCCTCCCTCCACCAGGAACAAAGTCTTGCGGCTCTCCGGGGGCCTGGAGGTGCCGGGGGCCCTCAACTGGGAGGTGACCCTGTGTCTGCTGGCCTGCTGGGTGCTGGTCTACTTCTGTGTCTGGAAGGGGGTCAAGTCGACGGGAAAGGTACGGCCGGAGGCTGGCAGGGCTGGGGGTGATGGCCGCGGTGGGGGTGTGGGGGGAGAAGGGGCGCCCCTGCCAGGGACCACTGCTGCAACGGGAGGGGGCCCGGGGCCCCAGCAGGGCGCGGGTCATCGAACCCAGGCCGCCGGATCCCCACCTGTGGCTGGAGGGCCCGGCCCCCCTGCACGCTCAAGCCCGGGAGCCTTGCCTCCCTCGGGGGAGAGGCCGAGGTGGCAACTGTCCCTTGTCAGTGAGGGGCCACCCCGGCTCCCCCACTTGCTGTCCGGGCCTCTCTGCAGGGACCCGGGCTGCAGCTGCCCTTGCCTGCCTGGCCCGCTCCGCTCCGTGCGGCGGGAGGCAGAGGTCTGTGGTCCACGTGGCTCTTGCCCCTGTCTGTCCCTGGCTGGATGCTGCCTCTCTGGCATCAGGGGCCCAGGGGGCGTGGGACCTGCCCCTGGCCGTGTCCCCCCCACCCCCGTGGATCACCTGCTCACCGCGGGGCTGCTGCTGCTGCCCGAGCCGAGCACACAGCCTCCCCGGGAGGAGCCGAGGCCTCGAGGAGGACGGCGAGGCCGCCGGCTGGCCTCCCGCTGGACCTCCGAGCCCCCGGCGTGGGCCCCTCTGAGCCGCCCGCCCCCCCGCAGATCGTGTACTTCACCGCTACCTTCCCCTACGTGGTCCTCGTCGTGCTGCTGGTGCGCGGAGTGCTGCTGCCCGGCGCCCTGGATGGCATCATCTACTATCTCAAGCCCGACTGGTCCAAGCTGGGGTCCCCGCAGGTGAGGGCACGTGCGCGGAACGGGAGGGGGGGCGGCCGGGCCGCACAGCCCCTCGCACCCCTCACACCGTCCCGGCCGGCCCCCCCGCAGGTGTGGATCGACGCCGGGACCCAGATCTTCTTTTCCTACGCCATCGGCCTGGGGGCCCTCACGGCGCTGGGCAGCTACAACCGCTTCAACAACAACTGCTACAAGTAGGTGCCGCCGCCGCCGCCGCCGCCCCCCCCCCCCCCCCCCGGCCCCGGGAGGCGGGCGCCCTGACCCGCCCCGTGGCCCTGTGTCCCCAGGGACGCCATCATCCTGGCACTCATCAACAGCGGGACGAGCTTTTTTGCCGGCTTTGTGGTCTTCTCCATCTTGGGCTTCATGGCCGCGGAGCAGGGCGTGCACATCTCCAAGGTGGCCGAGTCAGGTACGGCCCCCGCCCCCGCGCCGCGCCGCCGTGGCCCCTCGTGCAGAGGCGCCCTGGGGAGCGGGCGAAGCACCCGCCGCACTGGCCGGTCACCCTGGGCCCGGGGAGGCCCGGCCGAGCAGCTGCACGGCCCAGCTGTCCTCGCCTGCTCGGAGCGGGAGCCCGGGGCCCCAGGGCCACGCGGAGCCTTGAAACCCGGGCCTCGGAGAATGCCCCGCCCGTGTGCCAGAGGCTGCCGAGGAGGGGGGCCTCGGGGTCACCGGTGACCCGGGACGGGGTTCGAGTCGGCGGAGGGACCGCCGACACCCTGACCCCGGTGGGAGGGTCCCGGGCCGCCGCGCCGTCCGTGGGCGTGGGAAGGGGAGGGGGCGATGGTGCCGCCCACCCGGCGAGGTACCCGGCGAGGTACCCGGGTGTGCAGACCTGCCCTCCCCTCTCAGGGCCTGGCCTGGCCTTCATCGCCTACCCCCGGGCCGTCACGCTGATGCCCGTGGCCCCGCTCTGGGCTGCCCTGTTTTTCTTCATGCTGCTGCTGCTCGGCCTGGACAGCCAGGTTTGCAGGGGGCGACAGGGCACGGGGGGGGGGGGGGGGGGGGGGGGCGCTGGCGTAGGCGGAGGGCGTGGCCTCAGCGCCCGGCCACAGTTTGTAGGTGTGGAAGGCTTCATCACCGGCCTGCTGGACCTCCTCCCGGCCTCCTACTACTTCCGTTTCCAAAGGGAGATCTCTGTGGCCCTGTGCTGTGCCCTCTGCTTTGTCATCGACCTCTCCATGGTGACTGATGTGAGTGGGGGCGAGGGGGGCCGCCCCGGGCCTCCGGCCGCCCGCCACCCATCGCCTTCCCTGACGCGGCTCTGTCCCCAGGGCGGGATGTACGTCTTCCAGCTGTTCGACTACTACTCGGCCAGCGGCACGACCCTGCTCTGGCAGGCCTTCTGGGAGTGCGTGGTGGTCGCCTGGGTGTACGGTAGGTGCTGCGGGCGCAGGGGCGGGCGGGGCGCGGCCGGGGCGCGGCCGGGGTCTCCAGCTGCAGCCCTCCCGCCCCAGGAGCCGACCGCTTCATGGACGACGTCGCCTGCATGATCGGGTACCGACCTTGCCCCTGGATGAAATGGTGCTGGTCCTTCTTCACCCCGCTGGTCTGCATGGTAAGGGCCAGGGGAGGCGGGGCGGGGGCGGGGGGAGCAGCGCCGAGGGCCCGCCCCTGGCTGAGCAGGGGTCGTCCTGCTCAGGGCATCTTCATCTTCAACGTGGTGTACTACAAGCCGCTGGTCTACAACAACACCTACGTGTACCCGTGGTGGGGCGAGGCCGTGGGCTGGGGCTTCGCGCTCTCCTCCATGCTGTGTGTGCCCCTCCACCTCCTGGGCTGCCTCCTCAGGGCCAAGGGGACCATGGCCGAGGTCAGTGTGCCCTGCGCGACACCCCCCCGCCCCTGGGCCAAGGCATCAGCTCCGAAGTGCCCGGTCTCCCACCCGCTAAGATGCACCAGTGCGCTAGAAGTCTCCGGGCCAGCTGGGGGAGGGTGGCATGGAGGGGACGCAGACCCTCTGGGGCCTGAGGTCATGGCAGGGGGAGCAGAGGTCTGTCCCCGGCCTCCCACCCCTTCCCCTAGTCAGAGAGCGGGGCGCAGTCAGTCCCCGCAGCAGGAGGGGCCCCTGTCCCCAAGCCGCGGCAGGTGGTGGGTAGTGGACAGGCCAAGGGCCAGCATGCGTGCCCCCTCGACCCCCATGGCCCGGGGACTCAACATGTCCCTTTCTCTCGCAGCGCTGGCAGCACCTGACGCAGCCGGTGTGGGGCCTCCACCACTTGGAGTATAGAGCTCAGGACTCCGACGTCAGGGGCCTGACCACCCTGACCCCAGTGTCCGAGAGCAGCAAGGTGGTGGTGGTAGAGAGCGTCATGTGACGGGCACCCGGGCTCCCATCACCAGCTCACCCTCTTGTAGCCATAGCAGCCCCTGCTTTAGCCCCCCCACCCCTCCAGGGGGCTTGCCTTTCCCTGACACTTGGGGTCTGCCTGGGGAGGGGGGGAGGAAGCACCACGAGTGCTAACTAAAATAACTTTTTTTTCCATTTTTAATAAAACGCCAAAAATATCACAACCCACCAAAAATAGATGCCTCCCCACCCCACCCCCCAACCAAGCTGGTACACACGCTGCTTCCCAGGCCCTGCCGACCGCCGGCCCCCTCGTGCTCGCTGCAGATGTGTCTCCCCAGCCCCACCACACCTGCCTCTGGGGGGGGGGGCCACCCTGGAGGCAGCAGTGGCGGGAGGGGGGGACACAGGGCAGGGAGGCGGGGGAGGGGCAGCAGAACCAGAACCAAGGCCGCTGTTTCAGCTGGGCTAGACCCCTCTCCCCGTCCCTCTTCTAGAAGCTTAGAGAGCCAGCCAGCAACGGAACCTCCCGGTTCCCGCGCCAATTGCCACCAATATCAATCGTGTGAGCTTGTGTACGAGTGCATGTGTGCGTGAGTACGTAGGTAGGGTGAACCTAGATCTCTCTTAGCAAAGGTGAATACCAGGTGTAAACTGTGCCTGTGGGCAAATGAGGCTTGTATTTTGCACATTTTATAAAAACTTGAGGAAAGAGATTTCTGCTTGTATATTTCTAAAGAGAAAACAGCCCGACGTCCCTCCCCCTGCCACTCCCCACCCGTCCCTTTCAGCGTCCCCTTAGTCCCCTGCCCCAGCCAAGGAGTGTGAATTTATAGATCTAATTTTCATAGGCAAAAGCTTCAAGCCGTGGAGCGTGCGAGTCTGTCGCGTGGGTGTGCATGTGTCGTCCCCGGCCCCAGACTGGGGGGGAGAGTGCACGGCGGGCGGCCTCCGGGGACACCCCCCACGCCCCCGCTGCCCACAGGTGGATGCGGTGCCGGGACCCCGGGGCCGCTCGCCTGGCACGTGCGCCCTGCCCCCGGGGCCGGGCACGACCGCAGGGATCTGAGGTGGGCACCAGCCAGGGAAGGGATCCGGGCCGGGCTCCCACCTGCGAGCTTAAAGCTGATGCGCTTCCCACGTCTCGAGTCTTCCATGTAGCAGCTTTAATTAACCCACGTGTGTGTCACGTCCGATCCCGAGACAGCCGAGTGGACCCTAGAAAGGCTTCCCCCACGCCACCCCGACGTCGGTCGGAGGGGTGGGACCGGGTGAGGGTGGGGGTCCGGCGGGGACATTCTTACTGTGCTAAAAAGCCACTGCAAACATAGCAATAAAAACCTGTCATTTTCCAAAGCTGCCTCCTGCTCCACCTCTGCTTGTCAGGAGGGGGGCTGTGCGGGGAGGGTGTTGGGGCTGCAGGGGTGGGGTGGGGGAGGCCACCTCCCCTCGGGCTTTCCTCGGTCCCCGCGCCCACCCGGTGCCGTTCCGGGAGCTGGGAATAGAGCAGGTACCGAAGCCGGCAGAAGCCTTTTCCCCCCGGAGCTGACATACTTGGGGAGAAAGGATGACGAGGATGGTAAAGAGGAACGCGAGGGTGGGAAGTCGTGGGTGCGGAGATTCCTGAAGGTTGCCCAAATGCTGCATTGAACAGGTGACCTCCGGAAGGGAAGGTGAGCAGGAGTGCTGGCACGGCCAGTGACAGCTGCAGCAGGACCCGAGAAAGCAAACAGCACTGGGACCGGGGTGCTAGCACTGTAAGGGCCAAGTCTTCAGATTAGGGACCCATGTGCAAAGTGGAGCCAGTGGAGGTGTGGATGGCTGTGATGAGGGGTTCAGACAGGAGTCAGGAGACTCCGTGAGACACAGACAGATCCTGAGCTCTTGGGCACCAGGAAGGGTGGCGGTGGCAGGCCCTGCACCCAGGGACATGAGAGAGAAGGTGTGGGGGTGACGGTGGCAGCTAACTGGGCCTGCTGTATCAGAGATGTCACCTCAGTGCAAACATCCAGTCAGCACGTGGACAAGGAGTCTGGACTGGAGAGAACAGTAGCGGTTCTCAGCACATAAACACAGCCCTGACAGCCCCGAGCTCCCCCCCAAGCTCCCCACGGGTGACTGAGAGCAGGGGCAGAGGGAGAAGTGGCCCAAGCACCCGGCCCTGGGGCCCTGGGACACTCACAAGGGGGCAGAGGGGTAGCCGGCAGTGGACAGGGAGGAGGGGCAGGAGGGACCCCGAGAGGGGAGGGTGGCCTCCTGGCACAGGAATGAGCACACCTCTCCCGCTTCCACGCCCCCCCCAGAGGGGAGATGGTCAGGAAGCCAGGGGCGTAGGGTTGCACCGGGGGGCCACTGATGGTCAAGGGACAGGAGGCCCTGAGAAAGTTTGCTGGGTCCGGCAACGGGGTCCCAGAGACCCGCACAGGAGGCCCGGGGTGCTGGGTGCATGCAAAAGCTTGACCGGAGTGGGATTAAGAAAGGCGGTGTAGAAGCAACCCAAGTGTCCACTGATAGAGGAAATGGATGAATAAAATGTGGCCTATCCACGTAGTAGAATATTATTCAGCCTTAAAAAGGAAAGAAACGGGGCAGGGCACCTGCCTGACCCAGTGGGAAGAGCGTGAGACTTGATCTCGAGGTCATGAGTTCGAGCCCCACATTGTGGGTAGAGATTCCTTAAATACCTAAAAGCTTTAAGGAAAAGGAAACCCTGACATGTACTATGATGTGAAAGAACCTCGAAAACATGCTGAGGAAAAGCAGCCAGACACAGACGCTGTAGCAGTCTGCATCCACGAGGTACACAAGAGTGGTCACACCCACAGAGAAAGTACGATGGTACGTAAGGTTTGGGGGCCTGGTGCGCACTCTGGACGCCAGCCTGGGAAGGAGTGGTGGCCCCTCAGAGGGACTGGCTTGCTGCCCCTGCAGTTCCTCCCTGGCCAGTCCCTGCTCTCCAGCAAGGCATGACCCCCCCACTGAGGAGGAGCTTTAGCCCTCAACTATACAGCCAAGGGTGGGCCACGTCTGAGGGTCACCAATAACCAGGGGACAGGTCCCCACAGAGCTCAGAAAGGAACACTGGCTGAGCAGGCCCGACTGCAACTCAAGCCGGGCCTGTGCTGGCATGTGGAGGCGCCTCCCCAGCAGGCCATGCGAGCAATGTCCCGGGCCCCTCACATGTGCCTCGCCCTGTCAACTCCTCCAGCAACAGCCCCTGCCTTGTTGCCCACAGAACAGAGCCTACAGCCCAGGGTCATCCTCAGGCCCACTCTGCTCCCCACCCTGGGCTCACACCAACTCCTTACCATCCCCACTCCCCCAACTACAACTGTACCTTTGGCTCTTGCTAAATGGCCTATGAGCCACCTGCCACAATGCCACCAGACTCCGAAAACATCAACATCATAAAAAGGGAAGTCGACAAAGGTTGGACTGCTTGGCTGGGGCCCTGAAAGCAGCAGGTAATCACCATTTATTCTGGAACCTGCCCCTGTGGTAGGGGCTTCAAATGTGGGGTCTGGCCATCTAGTGGGAGACAGGTAAGGAAAGCAGTGAGCCCTTGGGGCACGTGGGTGGCTCATTGGGTTAAGCATCTGCCTCGGACTGGGGTCACGACCCCAACATCCTGGGATCAAGCCCCACATCAGCTCCCTGCTAGGCGGGGAGTCTGCTTCTCCCTCTGCTGCTCTTCTCCCTTTCTCGCTCTCTCAAATGAAAAAATTCTTAAAATATTTAAAAAAACAGCCCAGGACTTGGTACGTACTGGGCTACCACAGCCAGGGGTGGGGCACCGGGGGGGGGGGCAGGCCCACTCAAGAGCAGGAGGCTGCTAAAAAACGGTGCTTAGAACAACCTACGGGCCAGTTTCTGTGGGTGGTCCTCCAGTTGGGGCTGTTACCCCCATCCTCATCTCATCCCCCCACCCCTGGCGGGGTATGCCAAAAGCAGCATGGTGCAGCATTCTCTTTGCTTGGCCCAGGGCCTGACACCATGGGGGTTCAGGGGCCACCCGAAGCTGGCCAGGGAAGAACCCACAGTTTGGACTCTGGCCTCTAGAAATTCATAGAACGGTGAGCTCAGGGGGAGGGCAAGGTAGTCAGGGAACACTTCCTGGAAAAGTGGGACTATCCCTCAGCCTTAGCATAGCAACCACACGGCCTCACCCACAGTCCCCCACCCCTACCACCCATCAGACACCACCTTGCTGCTCATGAAAGCACAGGGAGGGGACACAGGAGAAGGCAGCCACTGGCCCAAGGCCTTGCCAGGAGTAGGAGTACAAGCTAGCCACTAACACGAACATCTCCAGGGGCTCCCCAATTCCAAAGAAAATACCTCCAACCTATTCTTTTTGCCTAGTCCTCAGGGCCAGCAGAGGATGAGCACTGCATCGAAGACAGGGGCTACAGCAGCCCCAGCCACCCAGGCCCTCAGGCTGGTCTTGAAGGCCACCTCCTGAAGTTGGCCGGCGGGAGGGGGCAGGGAGGGAGACTGCCAAGGGAGGAGACCACAGCAGAAGCAGGCTCTCCAAGCAGGTACGCACGTCCAACATGTTCCCAAGGTTGCAGGCAGCAGAGGGGGCACCCTCCCCACCACCTAGCTCTATCCTGGGCCAGTCATAGGTCACTGTCAAGGGCAAGTCTCCTGTCTTAGTAGGCGTGAGTCAGAGGTCATCCTGCAAACCTTCAGGAGGAAGTGGGGCAGGGAGTGACTGGTGGCACTCTGCCATGTTCTATCTGTCCTAAAATGTGATGAACAGGACTCAGAGGAGGCAGGCAAGTCTGCCACCCGGAAGCCCCAGCAGTTTACTGAGTCTCCCAAGATTCCCTGGACCCAGTGGCCAACCCAACAGGTCAGACACACCCCAAGTGGTCATAAAATAGGGCCTGCCTGGGGAGCAGAAGGCAAAGGGACAGGGAGAGCAAGTATGAGCCTGGGCCCAACCTAGGATGAGGGAGTCTTTAGAGATTAGTAAATTGAAAGAAAATAACCTGAAGGCCTCCGGGACCCAACATTGGGAGTCTCTATCAGAACTTCCCGCACTCCTTCTGGCCCTCCAGTGATGGGAGAAAGACGCGGCTTCCTGGTGGCCTCAGTTACACGCACGAATCATAGTCACATAACAATGAACTTTATTGCTCCAGGAAAACTCTACTCTGCCTGCACCGTCTACCCTCCTGCAGGACCAGAGACAAGGGGCCCTGGAACCCCAAACAACACGCAACACAAAAAAGGCACAACCCAGTGGGAAGCAATGCCTGCCTCATGCCTGGCCGGCTGGGATGGCAGCAAATTCATCCTGCGCAGGCAGAAACTGGGTCCCCTGGGGTATGCCGGGAGAGCGTGGAACTGCAAGCTGTGCAAGGGGACAGGAAGCAGAGGGGGCGAACTGAGGTACCGGGGAGGCCGGGCTGCAGGCAGCAGCGGGCACAGCCCAGGTGGCAGGTGGGGAGGAGCAGCCTCACTCCTCCTTCTTGTCCGTGGGGCCATCCACCGCTGCCTGGAAGGGACAGAAACCACAAGGCAACGGGTCGACAGGGTGCACCCCTCCCCTTCACCCCCTAGCCCCTTCACCCCAAAGGCCCAGCTTGCTGGTTTCTCCCCAGGTAACAGGTACCAGGTGAGCAAGGGACCCCACCTGCAGCAACACCTAAAGGCCTGCTCAGGTGATTGTGGACCCTCTCTAGCAAAGGCTGTGACCCTAATGCCAACCAGAGGGGGTGTAGCTGGGCGCCTCTGCTGTCACGCTTCTCTTCAAGCCACAGGACCCCACACCAACCGCCGTCTTGGGCCCGTGGCAGACCTGGCATTCAAGTCCCTCCCAAGTCCCAGCTCAGGCCCTGCACAATCCTGCACATCTTTTATGGGTCCTGCTGGTGATCCCACCCTACACTGAGGCCAAGCAGTCCTCCTCTGGGGCCTGGGCCCTATCTCTTCAGCCACTGTGGTGGCCAAATTTAGGCCAAGTGACAAGGCAAATTGTTAGAACTTAGGGGCATTTACATGGCCCTCAGGCCCAATTCCCAGGCCACCTGAGCTTCCAGATTCAGCCAATCTGAGGACTCTGACAGGTCCTAGGAGCGGGGTGGGGCAGGTAGGCCGCCCCAGCCCTGCATCACCCCCACAGCCCACATGCAGAAGAGGCAAGCTGCCAGTCGCAGAGTGTCCCTGCAATGGACCTGGACCAGTCAGGAGCGCCACACCACAGACCAGGTACACATGTGAGGGAAGGTGCTCTTCTCAGAGACACTGACGCCAGGCAGGAGGGCCTACCGCACTACCAAGGCCACTTTAGCAAGTGGCTGCCATCTGCCAAGCCACACCCCTCCTGCTAGAGAAAGAGTTCCAGCTGCTGAGCCCAAACTGGCACTGCTTGGCAGGCTCTTCTCTAGACCCAGAGTCAGCAGCAATGGAGGAAGAAAGGGGGAACGGGGGAAAGAAGAAAGCAGCCAGCCCCACCACCAGGGCCTCTTGAAGGCTCTGTCGAGGGAGGCCAGGCTGGGGATGAGCCCGCTCGGTGCTGCTCAGGGTGCGGGGGGCAGATCCGACCCGGCAGAGCAGAGCACACATGCCACTGACCTGTAACTTTGCGTGCTCCTCCAACAGACGGTCGTACTCCTTGGTAAGGCCCTCAGACTGCTTCCGCATGGCCATGGCCTCGCGTTCAGCTTTCTCTAGTTCTGGAGATGATGCAGATAAGGAGAAAAAGAAAACACAAAGATAGGGATTAGTTAGGAAGAAAAAATCCAGCTGCTGGAGACACCAGAGACAGGTCTGAATGTGTCCCCACTGAGGCTGTCTAGGAGGGCGCTCCTCTCCAGAAAAGTTCCCCTGCCAGCTGTAGGGCGAGCCCCTGAAGCAGGAGAGGGCTGGCTAGCACAGATGGGGGAAGCAGGAAAACACCAAGGACCCCCTGGCCCATTTGATGAAGGGACTCCAAGTGGCCCTAGGCATGGGTGACTTTGGGGAGGCTGTGGGCCTGGAACCAACAGTCTGAGAACATTGAGGTGACAGCAGGAGGTAGGGAGCAGAATGCTGAGAGCAAAAAGCGTGTTGGGAGGGGCTTTCAGGAAGGGAACAGATGAACTCTTCAGTAACACTGCCAGCCGTTCTGGGGTAGCTTCCCGAGTTTTCCCTGTCCCTGCCCCAAGGACGCTGGTGACACTGCCACATGTGGAGAGCACTGTTCCCTGGGCCTATTGCTGGCCAACATGCTCCAGAGCTAGTCTCGGAGCACCTGGGACTCCCCGGGCCTCCAGACAGAGACTGCACCACTGAGCCCCAGCAGCTAGATAAGCAGGAGGCCATTTGTATGTTCTCACTCAGCTCCTGAGCCCAAGTGCACATCTGTTATTAATACTTTGGCACAAGAGGGGCAGCCAGCACTGGTGGAGCTTCCAGACTTTCAGGGGCTGGGGGACACCTGAGGACAATGCTCACTTTGCTTGTTGATGTCTAGCTCATCCTTCAGCTTCTTCAGATCAGCCTTCAGGCTCCTGTTCTCCTCTTCTACCTTCTCCTCGGCATCCTTACCATCCAACTTGACCCCGCCAGCAGCAGCTTCCTAGGAAGAAGGCCAAGGGCACGGGTTACTTGGGCGGGCGGGAGGGAGGGAGGGAGGGAGGGAGGGAGGGAGGGAGATAGGCGATCCAGCTCCGTCTCCCCCACTGAGTGTGATTCCTCAAGCTGCACTGGGCACTTGCCCCTTCAGAAATGTCAGCACAGAACTGGGCCACTGCTTGTTCCCAGCTACCAGGCAAGGGGAAGGGCCAGCAGGGCCACCTGCCACACTTCACAGGCCACACACCCTACCTCTCTTCCTTAGCAGCACTGGGAGTTCACCAGTCTGCCCAATGACTCCATCTGCTACCTTCTGGAGACTTTTACCAGTCACCCCTAACTGACCAATGACCTCTGTTCCTCTCCCCAGGCTCCATAGCTCACTCTGGACAGAAGCAGCAAACTCATCCCTGCCTGTGCAACTCTATCCCTCCTGTGGATGAATCCAACCCCATCTACCCATCTTCCCAGCTTAGCTCACACCTCACCTCCTCGGATAAGCCTTCTGAGACTGGCCACTTCCCATCCCTGTCTTGCCCTGAGCTGATACAATCCTCAGGAAACCACAGGCCTTATCTTGCATTCTTCTATGCTAACCTGCCCATGGTTCTTCATAGCACAGGGCTCAGCTCACCAGAGTCAGTTTTATCAGGAAAGAGTCTGACCTGGATGTAGCACATAGAGACAAGGGAGCAACGAGGGTGCCCCTTTCCCTGTCAAGTCCCACAACCTCTCCCTACATACCCCCACTGAGAACCACCCCTGTCCCTTCTACCCAACCCCTCAGCTTTGCCAACAGCTGCAGTGTCACACATTTCCCAGCGGTGACACTGCGGCCTGGAGGGAATGTCATGTGGCAGAGTCCAGCAGGTAGAACTCACCTTCTTCAGCTGGTCATTCTCTTCCATGTACTTCTTGGCCGCCTCACTGGCACTCTCCGCCTGCTTTTTAAAGGCTTCATTGGACGCCAGCAGCGTGGCCTGCTGGGAGATGAGAGTCACCAGGCGTCTAAGCAGGCTGCAAATGAAAAGGAAGGGAGAAGTGAACAGAAGCAGCAAGGGAAATGGCTGGCATGAACTTCTCTTGGTTGCTCCTGCCCCAAGCCTGCCTCCAGCCTAGACCTGTCCTCTTGGATTGCCAGAGCAGCCAAGCAAGACACCGCCAGCCTGGGTCTGGCAACAAAAGGGAAAAGGTGAAGCCTAAGAACCATCTTCTGCCACCAGAATGATTAATACTGCCCCAAAACAGCTGCTCGAAGCTGAGGCTGTCCTTCAGTCCCAAAGGCACAGGAAGCAGCAGATTGACAGGGTACCCCAGGCCAGGCCTGGCTACAGCTGGAGGACCCTGAACCTAGCCCTTTCCACCTCAGGGCCTGGATGTTTCAGAGAAGCCACAGCACCATCTTTCTAGCTGTGAAGTCAGGCTTGCCCTGGTAAACGAGAGCAGCCAGCGTCCAGAGGCACTTCCAGCTTCTGGGCCAAATCCTCAACACCCACCTCATAGGGGAGGCACGATCACTGCCCCACTTCAGAGAGGGGAAACTGGCTAAGGCAACTGGTAGAGGTCAAGAGCCAAACATGGACACAGCAAAGCCCCCACTGTAGGCTGTCTGACTCCAAGATCCAAGCTTGGAACCATCACCCATTCTCAATTTGGAGGGAACCACTCCCAAGCCAAGTAAGAGGAGGACAAAAATGACTCCTCTCTACACATGGTCTACAGGCAGCTGTTAGAGAACATTGCAACAACAAGGTCTTCTGGGGCTGGAGGAACAGAAAAGGAAGAAGCAGGACCCAAGCATCTCAGGTCCAGACTAGCCACAAAGGGCAAACAGGTGGCAGCTGGGGGCACCTGCCACTCCATTTCCCTGATAGCCAGCCCTGTCCTCGAGATGTTACCTGACAAGAGAAGAGAGGAACAGAGAAAGGCACAGCTCAAACAGTAAAAAAAAAAAAAAAAGAAAGAAAGAAATGGGGTGGGGAGGAGGGAGGGCACATTCCCCACACACCTGAGACAAGAGGCCCTGGCTGGTCATAGCTATGAGGAAGGCACCTACAAGCACCCCTGGGGAACAGGGAAAGACTGCTTTGTAGAGTGTTTCCACAACAAAGGGCTTGCTCAGAGAAGACAAAGCAGCCTTGGATGCCTGCTCCTGGGCCAGCCTTCACAGGGTTCTCGTGGACACCTGTAGTTTAGATGGCCCGAGGGCATGGGGCAAGAAACCAGGTGCACTCCCCTGCTGGCATGGGCCGTGGCACAGTCCCCATCAGGAATAAGTACCGGGCAGGGGCAGGAGAGGTGGGCACACAGGGGCCCTCAGAAGCCCATCATGCTTCCTGGTTTGCGGAAAGGCTCCAGGGGCCCCTGGCAGCATGGGGAAAGCCAGGCTGCTGGTTCCTGGCAGGATGGGAGAGTTTCCAATGACATGTGCTCTCTAAAATTAGCAGCTGGACCTCGTGGCCCAGGGCTCAGGTTTCCCTGTCTCAGCCCCTGACTATACACCAGCCTGCCCCCCACTGGGCTGGAGCCCTGGAAGAGGAAGGAGCTACCAAGCACCCCAGAAACCAGAGAGAAACAACACACTTGACTTATGTCAGCAGGGCAGAAGTCACCGGAGGGACCCAGAAAGAAAGGCAAGTCTGACTAAGCCCCAACCTCCCTATTCTGAGCACTCCGGCAGCACTCAGCAGATCCTGGTGATGTTGAAGAGGCCCCTCCTCCCAGATGGCGACAAGCTGGGGGGAGGGCACGTGTGCCACCTGGTGGACCCAGCAGGCAAAGATAGGGCAAGTAAGCCCAAGAGTGACACACCTCCTGTCACAACAAGGCCAGGCAGGTGGCCGACAAGAACAGGACTCCAGCAGCATCGTAAGTGACCATGGCTGTCCCCCAGGTTATCCAGGGAGGCCGGGCCCAGGGTGGTGGTGCCAACAGTAGCAATGCAGCAGGGGTCCGGCTTTCCTCAGTGCCCTCCAAGCCCGTCCCCAGCTATGGAGAGCCAGGGCTGCCACCATGAGCCCAGGCAAACACAAAGACCCTAGCACAAGAACTGATCAAAGAGCCTCCTGAAACCGCAGCCTGCTCCAGCCCCCCGCCCAGGCTCACAGCCCTTCCTCAGGATCTCTCGCTCAGTGCAGGACAGGAGCCACCAGAGCAGGCGCCCTCCAGCACCTGCCAACCCCAGACCCTGAGTCCACGTCCTCCGTCCTCCGGCTTCCTGTTAGACCTGTTCCTCCAACCCTGCTGTGGACAATTCTGCTATGCTAATTCTTCCCTCCAGGAACCTTGTTCTCAAGGAGCTCTCCCTCCTGCTGGCCCAAGCCACTCTTCTCCTCTCTTCCCTCCCTCCCTCCATTTGGCAACCTACACCAACCTAGGACTTGCCCTGCTCAAGTCACTACCAGGACCACCGCTGGCCTAACCACCTGCTCCAAGGAGTGCCCTGAAACCCCTGGAGCGCTCGCTCAGCAGCACTTGGCGCAGCTGATAGGTGGCCCTCCTTGCAGGATTCTCCCCAGCCCCTGACTCAAGCAACCCTCACTGCCCACCCATCTCATCACCGACAGGGTTCATTTCAGGCCAGGCCCTCACACCCAACTGTCTCCTAAAGGCTGGCCCCTGGGGGTCCTTGAGCAAAGCCCAGTCGGTCTGTGGGCAGACCATCCCTGTATCCCCCTGTACTGAAGGGTGTAGCCGGTCTACCCACAGTCTGCATGTGCCCCATCGCGCCCTTCTCCCCCCAGCCCCAGCCAGTCCTGTCCACATCACCTCCACACAGACCACCTCCAGGTCATCCTCACTGCCAACGGGGATGGCCTCAGTGTTCGTGTCCTGGGTGATGAACAGCTCCCAGTAGCCTCCTTCCTATCCATGACCATATGGCTTTGCAATCCACACTCCAAAAGCAAGCCAGAGTGATCTTTCTCCGAGGCAACCTGATCACGTCACCCCTCTGCTTAAACCCTCCAATGCCAGTTTGGGCCTTCTCCCCCTGCCAGCCATGGAGGGCCCTGCTCTGCTCCAGGAACACCAACGGCTAACCGTTCTTGAACACACCAGGTTCTCGCTCACCTGGTCTCCATGCCACAGCACTCGTCTGTGATAGCCTCCCCTCTTCTGGTGACTCAGACCAACTCAATCACCACCTTCCTCCAAAACCCTTTCCTGCCCCTCCTGGGTCCCCGTCTCGGCTCTCCCACAGCATCTCCGCACACCCCCACGTGGCTGGCCACACTGCTCTTACTCTGTGCTCCCCCTTACCACCTCTCCAAGTCATCCTCTGTTCCCCAAAGCCACAGCTCTCCCCGGCTCTGCTTTCCCTCTGCCCAGCCACAGCAACAAGGACACAGGCAACAACAGGGTGACAGGGACCAGCAGTGGAGAGGTACAGTGGAAAACCGTGCTGATGAGCAAGCCAGGCTTGGGACTGCAGTGGTAGCTAAGAGGCAGGTGGAAAAACACTCAGCACCAAGGCCGGGGGGCCCAGGGCCAAGCCAAGAGCAGCGAGCCCAGGGGCTGGCCTCCTGGAACTGCCCTTCATATACGGGGCCCAAGTCTCTGCACCTGCCCCCAAGACATCATCCTGGAGGAAAGGCTGATGTACTGGCTTTCTGCTGTCTCCTGCTCCTTAACCTCCAACACTCTCTGCTCTACTGCCCGAGTACTATCACGCACAAAACTGTTCTGAGCCATCCGTTTCTGGACAGCACATGAGAACCCACAAGCCAAAGGGATTTGCTGAAGTACAAGGCTGACAGAGGGACCCAGGGACCAGGTTAAATGCACCCAGTGATGGATGGGAAAGCCAGCACACAAACCTTAAGAACACCTAGATGTGTCCTTGGCAGACCAAGGTCATCCCCAAATACCTGAATTCAACTCAGCTTTCTTGTAAGATGTTCTTGGACTCTGAGTGGAGCTCTCATGCTTTTATAAAAGGTTGAATAAACAACAGAAAGAGAGAGAAACAGACTCTCTATGTGGACACTAAAGAAACAGTGCCAACCATATCAAGTAGGGAAGACGAGGTTCATATGTGCTTTGCACCAATCCCATCTCCCTCCTGTGGGCAAATAGAGGAGGCAAACATTGGCTTCATAGGGTGTGAGGCACAAGCAAGGGGAGCATTCTCCAAAGTCCCAACTAAAATTTTCTATGGTTGTGGTAACACCCTCACCTCGACCCTGTTGCTAATACTGCCCGCTTAGCATTTACCAGGCATCTCCTGGGTGCCATGCCCACAGTGAGTTGGGTCACTGAGTCATTGGGACCCCAACACAGGGACAAGTAGGCAGGCAACTCCCCTTCAGCCCACTGCCCACTGGGCACAAGCTAGTGTCACAGTGCCACCTGTTGACTCTCCAGGCTGATTGCAACCCTGTGCCAGACGAAGCTTGGCAGGGCTGCTGGTGGGTTCTGGGTGAACCCAGCCCACCTGTCCAGGAAAAAACATGGAGAAGGAAGGAAAGGCCACCCTGACAAGGAACCAAAAGCCAGGTGATGTCCCAAGAAAGGCTTTGGGCAAAGTCGAATGATAATAACGACAGAAACGATCCCAGGAAACACACAACCTTAAACAGTTTAGAATCATGAGAAGAAGGCAGGAGAACAGCAGAAATAGTTTAAGATGCAGGGAAAGTCACCTCAAATGGCCTCTTAGCTCTCATGTACAGAGGTTGTAGAAAATGGGGAGGGGGACTAGGATGAGGATAAATACCGATGCTCACCTCAACTCCAGCTCATGGCCAGGGAGTGCTCACCCACCCTGAGGCCAGTGAAGCCAGTTAGAAGGGACAGGAGCAGAAGCACGTGGCCATCCACCCCCTAGAGCTAAAGAGAACCAGTGGACAGGAGCAAACTATTTCTTGAGCTTTCTCATGTTGCTTTCTTGAAACCTGTTAGGAGAGCTGTGTAACCCAGGGGACAGACAGCAACTGAATGAGGGCAGACGAGGAGGGTTCAAATATGCGGGTATCCTACCTGGCGACTGGAGAAATTGAGGGAGTGGGAGGAAGGGA